CAATATTAAGAGAGGGAGGGTTTTGAGTGTTGGGTCATCCACGGCATATTTCCCCACCGTCTGCCTCTTGCCATACACTAACACTAACCCTTTTAAACTTGTTCCCATGTGCTCTTCCCTCCTCCACCAACATTCCAATACCTCTCAACCTCCTTTCTGCTCCCCCTTCCCTTCCCTTCTCTTCCATACAAACAACAAAATATTTTCCTGTATATACAATTATTACTTGCATATATAGAGCCTGTTACCTCATCTCTGAGCTTTCATTTTATCTGCTTCTTCTTACCCTATTAATGCCTCATCATTCATGGACTTGTCTCTGATATGGGTCAACCTGATGTTTGTATCTGTTTTGCTTTCTTCAGTTACAGTTGTTGGTAATTATTATGTGGTTCTATTTTAGTGTTTTCTTTATGCACAACTAAATTGTTAGCCTAGGTAGCTAGAAATTTATAATTTTTAGGCCATAGCTTCTGTGCTAATCAAAAGTTGTATATCTATATATATAGAGACTGCGTTCTGCTCTGTGAGTTCTGCTTATTTGGCTTATTCATTGACAATTATTGATGATTTGACTCAACAGGTTGTGTTTTTTTTTTTTTTTTTTTACATATATCTCCATGTGTAAACATATTCCTGTGATCATTTGTCGTGGAATCTCAAGTATTAATTTATTCATTTGATATCCATACATGTCCTTTTGGAAAGTCATTCTGATAAGTTTTTTTTATTCCTGGAAAAAAAAAATCTGCGCGAAAACATGTAGAGCTCACTTTAGCTTCAAAACATTAAAGCTGCTATATGTATATTCCCAAAAGCTGCTATAATGGTTATATATAATGTGGAAGAGTTAATTACACTTAAAGGTATGTTTAGTCATGTGACACGTCTCTTAATCTCACAAACCTTACGTAAAAAATACAGCTCCTACATATTTTCTCTTAATTGCAATATATATATATATATATATATATATAGGAAAAGGGCAAAATTTAAATTTCCAGTACTAAGCCAAGTGATTATAGAAATAATGGGTTTGGAAGCTTTTTATTATATTGCAGGCTGTAAGCAACACTTCATGATCCATGCGACTTCTAGCATATATGATTCAATTAATGCCATAGATATTTAAAACACTAATCACGGGGTATCAAATTATAGTATTTATTTACTGAATGAAGTTTTTTTTAAAAAAAAAAACAATGGACACCTCATGCTTCTCTGGTATCCTACATTCACGTTATAATTTTGAAGGGATATATATATATATATATATATATATATCATTTCAAGTAGCAATCTTCACACCCATCATTACTTAAGGTCTATACTCTATATATATAACATAATTATATATATATATATTCAAGGAATCTTACAGTTCAATTTTTATTATTAAAATTTTTGATACATTGCAATGTGACAGCATATTTTATTTACCTCCATCAAGTGTATTAAAAGGGAACATTCTTACATTTGTGCCTGCCGTATGTAATGTAATGCCCTTGCTTCCAGAAATGTCATTATTTTCAAGAATGGTGTCATGACTGCAGAACTAACACATGTATTAATAAATTGCATGATTAATTGCCTTGTAAAAAATATGGTTATAAAGAATTTAATTTAGATTGGAGATGTATGAAAGTAAAATAATCATTTTCAGTTACGTGGCACACAGTGCACTCTAAAAAAAAAAAATTTTATGTTCGTTAGGAAATTTAAATCTTGTGGATGGAAAATTGATTTGAGATTGATGAATTTGATGTTGGATTTACCCTTCTTGTCCTATTTATAAAGTAAAGAGATAATGTTTTTTTTGTCTTATTTCTAAGTCATCTCATTAAATTTTTAATATGAATGTACTATTTTATTTTTTATTTATTATAGTATAAATGATTATTTTTTAAAAGATGTATATATTAAACAGGGGTAAAGTTGAAAAGTTAGTATATTTTGAATAAGAGTTAATGTAATTTAAGTTTTATTTTTGCCTATGTAAAATATGTTGGAAATACCTTATAAATAGGACTAGAGAAGTATGATACATTTAACTTTTTAACATGGATTCTATGTTAAGATATCTTTTTGGATCTTATTATAAGTTACTCTTCTAATCATATTTATAAGATAGAGAGAGAATTTTTTTGTCCTATTTATAAATAACTTCATTAAATTTTTAATATGAATGTATTATTTTGTCCTTCACTATTATAGTATAGATAGCTTCTTCTTTTTTTTTTGAAAAATGTATATATTAAATGGGAGTAAAGTTAAAAATTGTTTTATTTTAACGAAAAGTTAATGCAATTTAAAATTTTTCTTAGTCTGTATGAAATATATGTTGAAAATGTCTACTAACAAGGATCAAGGAATATTTTTAACATATTTTTTACAATAATTAAAAAATCCTTAAAACTCAATAATCTTATCTGAAAAATTAATATGTTTTCAATTTTATACCTATTAAATATATATTTTAAAAATTCAACAAAATACATCAATATTTAATGAGAGGTAGAATGATTTGTAATTAAAAAAAAATCAATGGCACACTTTATGGTTAGAACAAATTTTTTTTCCTTTTTTCTGCCTAGTAAATAAAACCGAAGGGAATATCAAGCTTGGTAAGGTTTTTATGACCATATCAAGGGATGTGGTCCATAATTATTGCAAAATACCAAAGTTTATAATTACAATTACTAATTATTGGCAAAAAAAATAATTACAATTACTAATAATGAAACGTAGATACATGGTCAAAAAGAAAATAATGAAACGTATATCCTCCAACAAAATCATGTAGCTGTATTAAATACTCTTCTGATCCTAAATATAAAACCTTTATACTAGTGTCTATAAGGGTTTTATATTTAGGACCAAAAGAGTATTAGAATAAATATTACTCCTCTTTAATAAAGGATATAATTATTGGGTTGATTTTAGTTATAAATATAAGACATATTTTTCATATTTAATCAGTTTTTTTTAAATTGCCCTGATGGATACTCCCTTAACTATAATTAAGTTGGAGAGAAAGGGAGAATATTAAGAAAAATGATTATGATGTTTTAAGAAAAATATATCATATTTATAATTATAACTTATCTAAATTTTTTAATCTAATCAAATTAGTTAAATATACAGATCGAAGGAGTATTGAATATGGATGAATCACTAGACGTATCTGGTGATTAAGCATACATAAAGGGTTTCTACTCTCTACGCAATTACTACAATTTATTAGATTCATGAATAATGTAAGAAAATGAAGAGTTATGATACTTGAGTCATGAAGGGTATAAATAAGGCTCCTGCTTGGTCCTTCTTCTCAGCACTCAGCCAAGTTTGTGAGACTCCTATCATTCCACAAACATTTTAAAAGAAGAAATTTAAGGTAATATATTTTTCTTCTATTTTTTATTTTGAACTGTATATTTTTGTTTATTTTCCTATAGCAATTAGAATTAATTCTAAATCAAAGATATCATGTGTATCACTATCTCTTTATAATCGTATACTTTTGTTTGTGTAATTTTAATCATTCACAAATATCTAAGTATAACATTTTTCTAATTTTAAGAGATGAAATTGAAACATTTGGCGGTGTAGTGTGAATCTTGAATCTTGAATCTTGATATTCATAGTCATGTAGAACATAGTTTAGTTTAAATTTAATTATAGTTTTAAAAAAAGACATTCTTCGCATAGTTTAAAATTTATAATAAAATGTATTATTTATAAACCATAAACTTATTTTTTAAATTTGATGCCATACAATTAAGAAATAGGTATGAACAAATAGGTATTGAAAAAGTCAATTTTTACTTCTTCTTTTTTCCCCCCATGACTCACGTCCTCATTTGAAACTCGTAATCTCACATCTAAAAAAATCGTAAAAAACATTGCTAGATGCGATTTGGATTACAAAATCTGTTACTCATTGCGCGTTGTAAAATGAAGGTGCTAATAATGGGTCATTAATAAGGATTTATTATTTTATGCCAAAAGTAACAATGCATATTTTTTAACATATTAAGCAAATGCTGAGGATCAGCGTGATCAGAAAAGATTAGTTGCCAATATATAACTGCATATTAAGCAATAACTGGTCATTAGCTCGTTAATATCAAAAATATAAACTATACCAATGGATTAAAGACTCCCCATTAAAACGATAAAAAAATATGTTGCTAATAATATATATATTTATTTAAATTTTTTATATACATTGTAAGAGTATTGAATATACTAATTACAAAGTAAAAGTATTGAATATACTGATTTTAAAAAGGCTAGGTTGCCTCCAATATTCTGAGGAATTTTTTTAGCAACACTCAATAACATAAATTAAATCTGTGATTCATCTGGCACTCAATAACATTCTCCCAATAACATTCAATATTATAAAATATTTTTTCGTAGGTTTTTTGTGAATCTAAAATTTTAAAGTAGTTTTTAATAGCACTTAATATTTTAAGCTTAGGATGTTCATTACTGCTAAAAAACTTTAAGAGTAAATTTGCATAAAAAATACTTTGGCAAGGTATTACCACAAATTAATACTGAAAAAATGTTCCACATGATGCTGATGCATCATAACCTATTATAAAATAGGGTAATTAGTAATTCTATTCCTTATTTTATTTTGAACTTTAAAACTTTATTTCATTCTTACCGGAAAAAAACCTCAGGAATAATATCAAAAAGGTTGACAGACATGTGATTATTTATGAGTGTGTAATAAATATTTGTTGGACAATTTTTCTTGACAAAAAATTATTTGATGGATGGACATGAAAATAATATCTGAGGAGGGCAAAATGGTGATTGAGAGATGAAAAATTGAAAATGAAAAAAGGGATGCCGCTGGTTGACCCTTAGCGGCCCCTACGCCGTTGGTCGTGCTTAGTCCCTTCCCCCCTCCCTCTCTCTGTGAGTGTCTGTCTCTGTTATATTTAAAAGGCCAAGCTCCTAATACACTAACCAACACACGAAACACAGCAGGAAACAAGCGAAAGGAACACAGAAAAGGAGAATGGAGGAAGTAGTGTGGTGGATTATGAAGCCTCTATTCTTGTGGCTGATCGGACTTGTGTTAATGGTGAAGCTTGGAGTATCACTGTGGTGGCGACCTTTCAAAATCCAGGCTCATTTCTCCCGCCAAGGAATCAGAGGCCCTCCTTATCGTTTCTTCATTGGAAACGTCCATGAAGTCGTCTCTATGATGCTCAAAGCTTCCTCTCAGCCTATCTTCCCTTTCTCTCACAATATCCTCCCCAGAGTCCTCTCCTTCTACCATCACTGGAAGAAGCTTTACGGTATACATATATATAAATATATATCATATCTTGTTTCTCTCTGCATCATCATTCATATGCATTTTCATCATGTTCCCTTTTTTAGCTTGTTCTTTCATTTTCAGAATTTGATGAGACTTTTCATCATCGGCTCATTTCTGGAGTTAATAGGGGTCCGGCCTCTTGGTGGTGCTTTCCTTTTGCTAACTTTTTCAGGCTTTTGATGCAATATCATGTTCAGCTCCACTTTCTCTCTTAACTTGATCAGTTTTTTTTGGGGGGGGGGGGAATGAAAAAAAAGGGTAACATTTGCAGTTATTGCAGCGGGTTCATTTTAGGTTCTCTCAGACCCAGACACACATTATACAAGTCTCTCAACTTGGTGTTATTGGCATTGTCGTGTGGGATCGAATTCAATTCTTGACAACGTAGTTGTTTGTGTTTGGTAACAGTTTTAAAAACTTGACTTGTCTTCTTCCCAACCCTCCTCTCTCTCAGTGTGTCTCTGTGCTGTTTTGTAGGGTCTACACTATCCATGCCCCTTTCCTTCCCACTCTCTGAAACTAATGGCTGTCATGTTTCCTGCTCTTTTCCTCTTTTTGCCAACTTCCCACTTACTATTTCTGCCTCTCTAGTCTGCATCCTCCATCATTTACTTCTCCCATAGCTAAACATGCTTATAACCTCTCTTATTTTTACCAATTAATCTCTTGTTTAAGGTTTTGATTAAACTTTTGATCGTTCATTATTATGTTCCCCAGGTGCAACATTCCTGGTTTGGTTTGGACCCACGGTTCGTCTCGCAGTGTCTGATCCCGACCTTATCAGAGAAATATTCACCTCCAAATCAGAATTCTATGAGAAGAACGAAGCACCGCCACTTGTGAAGCAGCTTGAAGGCGATGGACTGCTTAGCCTCAAAGGAGAGAAATGGGCTCACCACCGGAAAATCATCTCCCCGACTTTCCACATGGAAAATCTCAAAGTAATTAACTACTGATTGAACTAAACTGTCAATAATTGACTCTATGTATCACAATAATCCTCATCAATGTGTGAGAGAAATCTGTGTGATCAACGGTGTGTTGTCCCGCCCTTTTTGTAGTTGTTGATACCGGTGATGGCGACCACCGTAGCAGACATGTCGGACAAGTGGTCGGAGATGTCGTTTGAGAGTGGCGGTGAAGTGGAAATCGAAGTCTCAGAGTGGTTTCAGACGTTAACGGAAGATGTCATCACCAGAACAGCCTTCGGGAGCAGCTACGAAGATGGCAAAGCCATCTTCAGACTCCAAGCTCAACAAATGGTCTTAGCCGCCGATGCCTTCCAAAAAGTTTTCATCCCAGGTTACAGGTAAACCGCCATAATATATATACCTCCATTAACTGCTTCTTTTACAAATGAATATACAAAGAACACAATTTCCAAAATTATTTTTGTGGTTCTGTACATATAGATTCATCCCGACGAGGAGGAATATAAGATCATGGAAGCTAGACAAGGAGATGAAGAGATCAGTAGTGAAGCTGATAGAGAAGCGACGGGCAAGAGAGAAGGAAGGGGAAGAGGAAGAAAAAGAAGCCGGAGGGGCGAAGGATTTGTTGGGGCTAATGATGAAGGCGGAGAGCGGGAAGGTGACGGTGGAGGACATGGTGGAGGAATGCAAGAGTTTCTTCTTCGCTGGGAAACACACGACATCGAACCTGCTGACGTGGACCACCATCCTCCTCGCTATGCATCCTCAGTGGCAGCTCCTCGCACGTGACGAGGTGCTTCGAGTATGTGGTTCCTCACGTGACCCGCCCTCCAAAGATCAGCTTCTCAAGCTCAAGACTGTAAGTTGATTTGACTTAACCAACATGCTTTACAAATTATCCATCGATCAACTAACAGGATTATGATTGCTAATTTTTTTTTATTATAATCAATTTAAACATACACACAAATATGTTAATACCAAATTTAGAATCTCTTTCAAACATGACAAGTAGTGTCATCACTTAAATAGTTCACTTGTTAATTAAATCAATATGTGTTGGTCATAAATTAGTGATGAAAATCAGTTTAGCAAGAAAAATTTCTTGCTAATAATTAGTAATATGTGTTAAGATAATTGGACCCTTTGTGTGTTATTTGTGTTTGCTGAAATCCCCACCTTGTGCTTTCTGGTACCCCTTCCTCTGGGGAACATGGTGTGCCACTTTTGTCCTTTTCATCAGCCACTCAACCAGACATCATGCCTCAGTTTTTTGTTTCATTCTTTTTCATTTCTTTTATTTTATATATATACACACACACTTCCATCCCCATTATCTAATTAATTCCTTATTATATGATTGCAGCCGATATGGGATTCTAATTTTATGTTTTCTTACTTGGGTTTGACTTCTTTTTGTTTTTTAAGCATATCCATCTGTGACAGTGAATAATGCTATTGATGATTATATATAAATGTGTTGACATTTTTACAAAAATGATCCAATATTATGTATATGTGGATGAGTCCGATTCAAACATCATCAAATCTAATTAGAATTTTTTTTCATTTTTCTATTCATAAAATTTGAATTCTCGTTTATATTTAAGAGAAACTGAATCTTGAAGGTATAGATAATTTGTGTGCTGTGAAAATCTTTTCTGAAGAAATGGGTTGAATCTTTGTGAGATGCTAACGTTCTATGTTTTTAGTTCGATCTTAAGTGGGGTTCTGATCTGATGCAGCTAAGCATGATTATCAACGAATCGTTAAGGTTGTACCCGCCAACAATTGCAACAATCAGACGAGCTAAAACAGACGTGGATTTGGGGTATATAAGATCCCGCGTGGGACCGAGCTTCTGATTCCAATCCTAGCCGTCCATCATGATCAAACAGTATGGGGCAACGACGTGAACGAATTCAATCCTGGCCGTTTCTCAGAGGGAGTGGCCCGCGCAGCAAAGCATCCAATGGCATTCATCCCGTTTGGCTTGGGTGTTCGCACATGTATCGGACAAAACCTCGCACTGCTGCAAACCAAGCTTGCTCTAGCCATCATACTACGGCGTTTTAGCTTCAGGTTGGCCCCACACTATCAACACGCTCCAACGGTTTTGATGCTTCTCTACCCTCAATACGGTGCGCCCATAATCTTCAAACCCTTGTCCAATCCTGATGAAGGGTCGTGATTCGACTGGCTATGATCCTTTGCATACGCTTCCAATGTATCTCCGTTTGTGTGGGGCACATATATAAATTTTTTTCGGGAAAAAAAAAATTAACTAAAGTCCAATTTTCAAGAGACAGAGTTCATCATCACGGTGATGGTCCCCTTTAGAAGAATTTAGGCTCCTAACGCAGTATATGTAAATGTCAATTAAAGTCGGGGGCCTGGAAAAGAATGAAAAGGATTATTATGGGGGTTAAATTACCGTGGTGACCTTCCCCAATTTGTTTAATGACCCGTGGAGCAGAGTGCGTGCTGTGAGGATTTTGGTTTGCTACTAACAACTAGCTAGTCATATAGCTTCTTCACCATTTTGTGTATATCTTGTGTAAATTTTCCTTTCATTTTTTAATTGAGATTTGTAATTTTATAATGCTTTCCTCTTTTTCCCTCTTTGATCTTGACTGTTTTGTCAGAGTATGTATTAGTAATTGCACCATTTTTTTTTTAATGTTTCTATATATCAATATGCTAACAACAATGTGAAGGAGGTTAAAGGTATGTAAGAATATTGAACCCCACAAAAATTCATAATGAAAATTCACATACGCGTCTATGAATATAATAAATAGAGTAATTTGATAAGCTATAAACAATTATATAGCATTTATATGGGTATATTATTTTATTGTACTGCTGAGAGATGTTTTTGGAAAATATCTTTATTTTGTAGGTCCATATAGGACCGTATTATATAGACTTCACTTTGACATTAAGTCAAATTGAGTGATTTTTTCTAGCGACTATTTTTTAAGTAATTTCAGAAGAAGATAACGTTAAAAATGAAACATCCGTTGAAAAACTAAAAGTGTCCAAAACTTTTAAAAGAATAATTAGATATACTACAACCAAATATTTGTTTAATTATTGATGGAGGAAAAGAAGAGGGACGGAAGAGCCGGTAAGGGGCAAAAGAAGATAGACGAGGATTTGGATTTTTTATGTGTATTGAAAAGGAGGCATAAAAACGTAATTATATATATGCAGTATATGCACTCAATATTCTAAATCTATCCCATTTCAATTGAAAGTTTTATTAGAGTTTAAACTTAGATTAAATCGACGAGTAAAATCTTTACAAGTGACAAACTCTATTACCGAGATTATTGAAACTGGAAAACTAATTAAATTTAGGTAGGATTTTTACCCATGACAAACTCTGTCATCAAGTATTTAACACAAATACATATTTATTAAGATGGTACAATCCCTTTGTCACAGCTACTGCCTAGTACTCCTTCCGCTTCTGGTACATAATTTAAGATATTGGTTAAAAAAGATTATAATCCAAAATACAAGATGTTGTCAAGATAATTAATCTGATTTTTTTTACTTTTGTCCCCGTTAGATATAAGAGAAAAAGGAGAGAGATGAGGGATAATGAAAGTATAATATTGAATGTAACTTTATATTTTTTTCGGAATAAAATAGAAAAACTTTATCACCTTAGAATATATTCAATGATTAAATTTTCATTTCTTAGTATGTGAGAAAAATTAACTAATTTCTTATATTATGAACCGAAAGAGTAATGCTATTACTCCGTCCTTTAGTATAAAATCCAATTTTTTGAATGAGTCTGTCTCCTTTTATAAGATTCTTTTTAAGTTTTTCTTAGCATTTAATATATTATTACCTATTTTACTTCTAATTTAATGTATTTAATATTTTTTTATTTATCTTATTATTACTTCTTACATTTATCTATTTATATATAGGGTATATTTGAAAAAAATTGTATTTGCTACATATTAATTGCTTTTAACTAATTTTAACTGATTCCTTAAACCATATATTTAGCTAAAAAAATCTTCTAATAAGAGACGGAGAGAATATATATCTTGAGTACATATACTAGTAATAATTAAATAGAAGTAAATGGAAACATGGGGAATGGGGGAAGGGAAGAATGAAAGGAGAAAAGAGAAAGGAGCACAGATATTGAGGAATGGTTGTCCCAAAAGAAGGAGCATTTTGATGATGAAGAAGCATCGAACTCATGAACCTGGGAGTGTGGTCTTGAGATGTCCATAAGACGCAGTCCCTCCAACTTTAAGACCCAAACTCATTATGAGTCTTATGGTAACTTCTTCACTTTCCAAGAAAGACACTGTCTTCTATTCTATACTATTTAATTTATCCCTTCATCAATTTGTTAGTATATTACTACTATGACTCATATTGGCTTACAGGTAAGATTTGCGAGACCCCATAGTTGTTGGGTTTCCAAGTCCCTTCCTAACACTCTTTTCCATGACTCATAAGCCTTCCTATTAATAAATTCATCAAAAAGTTCGGACCTTGTACTTTGTAAATCATCCCATTTAAAAATCTTAACAACCCAACTAAATTACAATTCTTCTCCTATTTCTTGTCTTCCCCATTGTGTATCAGTGTTTGCATCCCAAAAAATAATTCTTTTGTGAGTAATATTTTCATTGTGATTTCATGGATATGTTTTAAACAAGAAAATATACCTATTCACCTTAATTTTTGCCTTCAATTTCACTCTCGAGTACAAAATATTTACCTATCTCGATCTTTAATATAAAATTTATATTGAAGGGTTTGTTTTGGTTTTAAATGGAAGATTTCAATTAACTGTCTAATAAAATTATCATTCCTTTTTTTAAATAATCATGGTAATTGTGCATACTAAAAGATATTCGTTTTCAATATAAATAATTAAAAAAGATATTTTAAGAAAACTGATACACATTTATTATAAACAACTAAATTAACTAATTTTTTTTATCACATTTATCATTAAAGAAGGTATAAGTTGCGGATAATATGAGATATACATTGAATCATTAATTGGCCCTTTATAATAAACTAGCAATGATGCTTCCATTTGGATGTTGTTCTTCTCAAAGAATGGAGAGGGAAAGTTGCATAATTTGTTGGTCCCCAGAGATGCATGTGAGAAGGTGAGATACTCCTGTCCTCTTTTTTAAATTTGATCCTCTTCTTCTTTTCTTTTCTTTTTTTTTAAATATATTTTAATAAAGAAACCAAAGCATGCCATGCTGCATGTGATCCCTTCCATAATTGCCCAACGTACTTATTTTTCAATTCCAAAAATTTTGTACACCTATAGTACTAGCTTTGTAGTAGTTGTTATTATTATTATTATGAGTCATTTATACTCTATACAACCCAGTTACTCTTGAAGAATGTGTAAATTAAATAAAATATTAGACATCAATTATGTGAAATGTATCTATAATATTGCAAATTGAATGATGAGGAATTTATTAAGCTTATTATTGTGATTGATTTTAATTGTTTTGATTAAGATTTGGAATACCTTTGTGTGGTGTGGTTTGATGAAAATGGGAGTCGAAGCTTATGCCTTGAGGATACCAAAATCACTTGAAACAAGACACATGATGTCTCAAATACTCTTAATAATTAATAGTAATATTCTCTTTTTTTTTTGTCTTGTTTAATTAATTAATCATCCCTAGCTCTCTGTGATCCAATGGTAATCCATGCAGGCTTTGATGATTAATTATTTAAATTTCTTGGGTTCGTAAGATTTAGAGGCTTTTGTGTTCTTTTCGTGCTTTGTCGTTGAGCATGCTTTTGCGTTAACATCTAAGCAGTGTTCCCTTTGGCCAGCTTTTTCACAAAATCTAAACTACTCCTACCATCTTAGATTATATATATACCTCTCCGGTGCTCAACTTTTAATCAATGTTATCTTTGTGATTATAATAATAATTGTGTAAAACACAAAGATCTGATTTAGATTCATATACCACAAGTTTTTAGCCTTTTAATTTTAACGAAACAAATCAAGCAATGCATGTTAAAAGTTTTTAACTTTATTTGAAGAGAACGTTAGTTGTTTGTTCTGTATAACTCACTTTATTATGATTCAGTTCCTAACTTTTAGTTTGGAACAGCTTAGTGCTTAAAGTCTTAACCTAGTTAAAGCTTAATTCTCAAAACTTTATCTTAGTGTGACAGTCCCTATAATTTTAGTCCTTTAAAATTTTAATATCTAAATTTCAAGAAATAACTTTATTCCTACTAATTTTACTTCCTAAAATATAGGCACTGACATTTTAAATAATTAACTGATTGAGTTACACCTATTAAAATTTTATGAATAAGTTTTAACTAGATCAAAATTATAGAGGTCGATCGAATTGTGCTGACTCAAAATTTAGGAATCAAATTATAACTAAGTCAAAATTGTAAAGAGTAAATAACTAATCTTCATTCCCTTGTTTAAAAAAAAAAATCATGAACTAAGAAATTAGGACTTGGAAACATGAAAATTCTTCACATTTGAAACAGTTAATCAAAATTACTGACATTTTATTTTGTGCTGAAGAAATTGGGAATGCCCAGAGAATGATTAGTATATATTTTAAGAAGAAGAGATGATGGAGACAGCTAGCTCATGTTGATTCGAGATACATATATATAACTTAACATTGTGTTTGAGTTTGTTTTTGTTTGTATCCATCAATCTGGTGCCATTAATTATGGAGAATAGTTTTAAAATCCCAAGCAAATGCTTAAGATCTAGTAGTAGCAGCAGCATTAGTATCAATAAATATTGTATAGGCATGGCATATTGCTTAATTAACAAATACTTAATTAATTGTGAATGTCTCCTAATAAGGCTCTCATGGCTAAGCAATTGAGCTGGCTTATGTCTGCCCCTTGATTCATGACACCTTGTCGGTCTATCATTTCCCAAAAAGCCATCCCTCACTTTCAAATTCTACTACTACTTCCTGTCCTAATTATAAGAATTAATTGATTAATTTGAGGAGATTAAGGAAAGAAATTAAGTTAGTTATTTATAATAAATGAGTGTTGTTTTTTTAAAATATCCTTGCTAATAAAGTATATTGGCTAGAACTACCATTGTCAGAAAGACTACCTTAGAAAAAATACATAAATATGAGAAAAAAATAGATTGAGGTCTTATATTTAGAATCAAAATAAAAATCAAATAAGGTATTATATTAAGGACTGGAGGTAGTACCAATTAATAAAACTAACTAAATAATAAGTCAAAATCATATTTCAATTACATAATTTATAAAGTTTCTGCTCTGCCAACATATCGCTCCTAAAAGCTGGCATCCAGATACATGGTCTTCTCCGTTTATGCGTAATTTTTTTCAATTATGAAATAATAAATAAATATAACTCTTAGTATGAACATCTCATTGTCAGTTGAGTTGATAGAGAAATCTCAGTGCCTATGATTAATAGCTAGTCACGGGGAGATTACTGGGATATATATATTCACATTACTGTTATGTTGATACATCTTATATATTAAAATAAGAATGTGGTGATAAGCATATTATTTATTATTAATTCAGTTTTGGCCGGGTCGTTTAGTTGGATTTTAAAACAAGACAAAGAATGTGATTTAATAATAAAAAAGGTCATGTATATCTGTCTGCCAGAGAAGAGATAAAATGGAAGAGTTGACACCAGAATGTTGTCAATTAATTTAATTATTATTTTATTGGATAATAAATACAAAACTATGAAAACAAACTCTGCAAATTTTTTCTTTTCGGAAAAGGAAAGAGTGAAGATGAGAGAGAGAGGGAAAGGGGCAGGATCACATGGGAAGAGCAATGATGAAGGAAGCAGAAGAGACAATGGAAGAGGATTTGGTGGAGCCACATCAATGCACAACTCATTTGGGGGTTTCCTTATTTAATTAGCAGCTCTCCTCATTATTAGCTTATTACAACAATTCTGCAATTTCAATCAACATTTAATTATTTTCTTAAAATAATAATGCCATCCTTAAATTAAAATATCCCCTCCCCTGTCTTACTCTGCCTCTGCCTGACAGCTTTTCCATCCTCCTGTGTCTTCACAGCCCCACACATACATTTACACCCCCTTGAAAAGAACTTTTTTTTTTTAAAAAAAAAAAGTGTATTGCCCATGCATGTTAACTTCAAATAATAGTTTTCTCTCAAGAATTTTTTTTTTCTAGGTTGGTCCCAACGTGTTTCTCATCTTTGAACTCCACGATACACTAAATTGAATTAAGTTAAAAGGTGGTAGAAGACAAAAAAGGGAAAAAAACAAAGACAAGAAAAAGCAATATTGTCATGTAGAACTATATATTGTAGGGAAAATAGATCTAATTCTTTGTCTTTTTATTATAAATTTAATTTTAAAATATAATAAATGCATAACTTTTAGTTCACTTATGTTCACAAACACGTTCATTTCAAACTTGAAATGGGGATCAGAAACACTGCCATCCTTCTGCTTGGGATAAAAGCGAGGAGGATTAGGAGCAGGCATTATTAGTTTGCAATAACGCCAGGCCCAAAAATCTGAACCAGAAGGCCGAACTATAACAAGCCAAAATATGGGCCTAAACGAAGCCCAGAAAGAGTATGGACCACCACCCTCAGAGCATAAGCGATTGAAGCCCACAAGTGCCTCTTCATTGGAGTCCAATCCCTCCCAAGCAAGAACCCAGTTTTGATTTTTATTTCGGCTTCTCAGCACGAACAATCGACCAGCATTAGAGATGCAAGAAAATCAGACGCGAAAGAGAACGTAGCTTTGAAGAGTCTTGGTTCATTCTTCACTTGCTTTAAACTCAACATGGAACAGCAAGTAAATAACGTGCATCATATGTAAGCCAAGCAAGAAACCTACTGAATAAATATGCACCTGAGACCGGCTTAAGAGAAACCGGGCATGCCGAAAACTAAAATTAAAAGCTCACAGTGCATATCCCATATAAGCATACCTTGTGATCATTTCTAGCTTTAGCAGCCATATTCTGACACCAAGTCCCTCCAAGAGCCATCTGGAGTCCGTGCTATTTGACCATAGCTGAACAGTGATGCACCAACAAGTCATCGAGGAATTTCAATTGTATGCATCCCACCACAAGAGGAGAAGAATTTGTTCTTGTTATTTATACAGCAATGCATATGAGCAGCCACAGCAGCAAAAACAAGAATTTTGCGTAGAATCTAAATGATTCGGTAATACCACAAGTAAACTACACAAGATGTTTAGTGAAAACATGCTAGATATCCAAATCCAGGACTAAACCCCTTGCAGCTGCTGCCTAATGCAACTTAGGCAATGATAACACCTGATTATGTTACCATTAGTTCATAGATTTGACCACCGAATATTAATTAATGGACAGACATTCACCACGATTGTCTCCCCTAAGCTTCTGTCCCGTTACCAGAATATTAGCATTCCAAAATCATTTACAAATAACTTCTAGACCATTAACCAGGCTTTGACAGGAAACAACCACTTAAGGAGCGTGCGCAAAAGATGGTGTCAATTATTTCAAGTGAAAAGTTCGAGTAAACCTATTAAATATGCGCAAATAAGGACAGCCCCTGGGAGCCACAAGACCCTGAGCTTGTTTCCTTCAGCAAAACACATTTGAGCCGTACAGGCGGCCAAAAATGGAAGAATGCAGAACTCCCATATTTATGGAATCGCTGGCTTATCAAGAGCCATACTAGAAAACCCGGCCATTCTCTACACGAAGAAAAAGATGGCAAGCGCCATCATCTGTAGACTCCTGGAAGCAACATCTATATGCCTCCATCATGGCCCTGGAAAATGCAGGGGAAGAATTACTAGTATCTTCAAATGACATTGCTTATGTTGTCAACTTACGGAGTAATTGAGACAATTTTTTATACTATACATGGCACATCTCATAGTACGTATTCGCGTAATCAGAAAGCAGACAGTAGCTTCCTCACAACTTGAAAAGTCCAAAATGGATGCAAAACGATCTAGACAACTTATACTGAAAAATGATGTGAATCATAAAAAATGGAAGCCTTTAAAACATCAGTCACAAAGAATCAATGATAAATCAACATTTCTAAGATACCACTTAATTTCAAATTTCTGTAGTCACTTAATATCTTCCAGGTATTCTACAATAACCAGAAACGAAGAATGGTGCCAGAGAGATCCTCATCAAATATGTCCACTACAACAGCCAACAGGAATTAAAAGGCTGCAAGATCAAATATACAAATAAGAGATAAGAGATATTCATTTCTTCTCGAAGTTTATCATTTACATTCACATCAATGATCAAACTATATCACTAAGTAGCTTAAAACTTAATTGAACCATCTACTCATCTTGCTTCTTACAGTTGACCTCCTATTATGAAACCCTACGCCTGCAGAATTGTATTATTGATTTGTAAAAAGATATCCCAATCATTTGACAGGTATACTGTTTTCAGAAGAAATCAAGTTTCTTATCTCCATTAAATGTTCATCATTAGATATGTGGAGAGAAAGACGAAGATTTGTCATTAAAGCTTCCAGTTCCCAACTTAAGGGTCCTGAAGCATGCAATGCCTCAATTGTGCAACGATAGGCATGCAACTCTAACCTATGGATTTCTGCTGCCATTTCTTCTTCTGATAAAAGGGAATGACTCCCTTCCTCGTATCTAGAATGGCATGCAGATTCAGCATCAGAAGTTGCACCTTCTAAATCCTCTACAAGACCTGCAGATATAAGATAGCGTGCTTTATTCAAATTGCAGTCATTGATACTACAACTACAAACAGAGCTTGAGACCTCATCGGCATCATTTGTTTCAAAGTTTTCTGCAAATGAACAATTAATGATGTCAGTGTGTTTCTTCCTCCCTTTATCCGTTATAGAAAACATATTTTTTATGTCGTTTAGAGAAGTACCTCTGTATTCTTCAACCTGAATGCCCCTTGGGACAGCAGCACCATCCACGTGCTTGGGCAGCATGGATGGACATGCAACTCTTGCTCTCTGATATCTACCTTCATTATTGGTTGCTCTCAGCTTCAGGGGAGGTTCTTCATATAACCCAACTTGTGAATGGCTGCTTCGCTTCAATGTTCTAGAACCAAGATGGGAATTCAGAACATTCACTTTTTTCTGGTCGTGAAGATAATCATGGTCAAAAGACCGTTTTGTCTTCAAGGTTGTTTGCTGACCTCGGGCACTAGACATTAAATAAAGCTTGGGAGCAAGTGTATCATCACGTTTTCCACTCTCACATCTGGAAGTTCCCTGCATCAAGAGAGAATAATCAGCCAATATTGAAACCGATAACATGGATGATCTACAAACAGCGGCACAGAGAACACAATGTGAAAGCTACTCTATTTTTGTTTTGCATTTACTAGACAGAAAAGTAGATATGAGGAGAATCAAAGTAACAAGAACTATTGAAAGCATAACATGACTAGAAACCTATCAAAATTCACAGTTTTTCTAGAAATTCCCATTAGTTTCTATTAGCAAACATAATGTATTGAATAAATCAAAACTAAAAAACCTAGTCAAAACCAACTCAACATAAGATATGAAATTAGGCCAATCGGTAAAGGAAAAATACAGTACTGCAAAATTGCTGAGTAAGATGATGGAAATAACAAAATGTTCAGAATTGGAAAACAAAGGTTCATGAAAAGTACCTTTCCAACCACAATCCATTTGCCATCTAGCCAAGACTGTCTCACCCGGATGTCAAATTTGTTCACTTTAAATTCCAAAGACGACCCAAGCAGCCTGACCAAAATGCACTCCGTCCCCAGAACCTTCAAAACTGTAGCCATTGACCAGGAGGAATTCCGACAGACCTCTACTACATCACCTGGTCTCCAATCCTCCGTGGCTTCAAGGACAGGAGGACATGGTCTTATGGATTTCCTGGGTACCCTCTCCGCAATTTCCTTGCTAGGAGCGCCGTCATATCCATCATATCTAACAGAGTAGTGGTGGCCATTACCACAGATGATCACTGCACATCGCCAGGAGCCAGAAGGCACCTCTGTTTTGCTTAATACTTCCACCTTGGTCCCTTTCTTGAATTTCATATTTGCTAATATATTGTTGGCAAATTTCAGCCAGAACACCTATTGTTGAAGAAACATGAAGATTTTAGTTATTTCACGACTGGCAAAATATGTATTTTAAAAATTAAGCACAAAAAGTCGTCAACTAAAAGAAGAATAGAAAAAAGCTCAAAACCGATTAATTGCTAACACCATACAGGTCGCGATTAAAGACGCTAACAACTGAAGATAGACAGCCATAGATATCTTGTCCAAAGGAGGCAGTTTTGGGCTGCTGGATCAGCAAATGGTAGCCAACAGCACTATTCAGAAATTCGTACGTTGTTTTAATTCAGATCTTGATTATCGAGGAGATGGAAAACAGCAAGAACCAGATTAGAAAAACAATGAAATTGACAGAGAAGGGGTATAAGTATGCATCTATAAAGTTTCGAATTTTGATAAATATACCAGTACAGGGCCAAAGAAAGTTAAATATCGAACTCGTTGTACATTTGTCTTCCAAGTATATGAGGAAAACTATAAAATTAAATTCAAGGCGTACCCGATCACACATATAGATAGATACGCATCGATCAGTCATGACCGAAGTGCTATTGATCAAAAGAATGAAAGGCATTAAACCGATTTCATCTCATCGAATTAAGTTCAGAATCTGGAGGTGGAATAACCAATCAACTGAGCTTCGCGCCAGTAATTTGGTTGAGTTTGGGGGTTTCCTTTTCTTTTTTCTTTTATTTATTTTTTCAAAGGTTTTGTTATGTTAGAAGAAAGCAAGCAGATAACACCAGGAAATAACTCATTACTATATCAGGCCAACGGAAAACAAAACAGACGGGAGAATTCTGATTCTCTTCTTCCGTTTTCTTAGCAACCAAACAAAAAAAGTCAAAGAAAATGGACTCAAACATAAGAACAACTCGTATGCAACACGAAAAAGAAAAAAACAGAGAGAAAAACTATACAGAATCGAAATTGATAGCTGCTAAGAACAGAAACAATCACAGCAGAGAATGCAAAATCAGAAGCTGAATCAGTTCAAGAATGGCACCATAAGACAATCGAATTTGTGAGAAGGGAGATGAAGAAATTTCACTCACCTCGTTCCGATTCAGGAAAGACGATGTTCTCTCCTTCTCTTTTGAATTTCACTCTCCTGATTGTGAAATCAGAATGGGATTTGTTGTTGGTTTATGCAAATTACAATTTTTGTCTTTGTTCGTATAACTAATTATCATCTTAACTAGCGTGTTTGCCAAAAAAGAAATTAAAGGGTTTTAGGCAAATTTTAAAAACAAAATAAAATAAGAAAATAGGAAGAATTTCCTTTGCCAACTTGCTAACTGTCCAAGAATAGCTTCGTTGAGTTGCAACTTTATTAGTTGAATAGGAATTTTAAAAGAAAAAAATAATCTATATGTTATCTATATCTTTATATTTCTAATATTTAAGACAAAATCTTTTTCTTTTAATGGGGCATAAAAGAATTAGGTTAGATTTATTAATATAAAAATATCTGTGTATGTACCGTAAAAAATATACTGCAAAATTTCTGTGTATGTTTTTCCCCTCAATAATTATCTGTTTTTTTTTTGGGGCAAAATCAATAATTATCTGTTTAATGTTTATGTTTGTATACTTATGCTCGTGAAGCTGTAGTAACAGGATTAAATTATATTTTTAATTTTTGAACATCGCTATTAAATAACCCAATTACCATAAATTAATATGATTTTCAACAGAATTTTCTGTTCAAGACTAAGTATATTTAAATGAAATTACTATTATACTACTATATGATTATTAAGGGATTAGCTAGGATCAAAAAATAAATTATTCAATATATTTTCGTTTTACATTATCTCAGGTCATATTTTCAATGAAGTCACTCAAATAATCGGGGAGTTATATGTGAATAACGTGATTAATTTAATTTTTTGGCTAGCAATGTCATTAATTTAATCTTTTTTTGGCCAGCAATGTGATTAATTTAATTAATTTGATACTATCAATCAGATATTATCCATCGATGGCAAAAAAAAAAAAATCAAATGTTATCCATCAAATGTAATTCATTCAGAGATTTTATATATTTTTTTTTTTGCCAGCCATTCGTAGATTTTAAAAATAAAATGGGATGCGGTAGAAGTATTACAACTGGCATACAACCAACCTTAGAGGTTTGTTGATTCGATTTCGCCTATTACCCTTTTTTGTTTTTATAGAACCACTCTCTATCGCATTTTTTTAATTAATTATGAAATATTTTTGGCTAATCAATTAATTATGAAATATTTGATATTAACTTTTGGCACATATTAAGTTTTTATATACTATTAAATTAAAATAAAATTATTGGCAAAATAGGTTTTAAAAAACTAATTTGTACTTAAATCGGATACTGTGGAACATGTTGCAATCCGATTCGTTATTGATATTCTTAAAAAGCGTATATACCATGTTATCAAAGATTAGAAAAAAGTTTGTTACCCAAAAAAAAAAAACAGAGAGATTAGAAAAAAGTAGTCTCAAAAATAAAAGCGAGATCCATAAATCACTATATTTATTCGTGTTTTATATGGATAAATAAGTTCGTAATATAATAATTTAATTTAGGTTCGCCGGTAATCAGAAAATAAGTAAAATTGTTCATATAACGTCGTTATTAAAATCTTTAATCTTTTATACAAAAAAGATACATTTATTATTTTAATTGGGAAACAAGGCTATTTAAAAAATCCACGCACAAATTTTCTTGAGTCAAAATTGCGCATGATTCTTTGTTTAAAAAAAAAACAACAAAATTGCGCATGATTCACTAAAAAATAATCCAATTAATTCCTCTGGAACGTATGAGAATATGAATTATCAGAAGATATTCATATGTACGAATTAAAATAGTACTCATCAGGTGTTTAATATAGGACCTAATTGTTAAATTAATTTTAGTTCTAAATACAAGATATATTTCTTATATTTATCATTTTTTCTAAATTACCCCTATGGATACTCCCTCAACCATAATCAAGTAGAAAAGAGAGGGAGGGAGGATATTAAGAAAGATAATTATGGTGTTTTAGGAAAAAAAAATATGTCATATTTTTTATAATTAATTAACTTACCTAACTTTTTCAATCTAATCAAATTAGTTAAATAAATCTTATATTAAAGACCGAAAGAGTATTTAATTTTCTAAAAAGAAATAAGCAAGCTTTTGTTTAATAAAAGTAAAACATAAACTAAAGATGACTTAAACGATGATGTGGCTGGTTGGTGCAAGTTTATGTTTAAGGTTGGCCTATGTCACAATTAACCAACCAACTTGTAAAGCAAGGGAACCAAAGGCAAAGCAGTTGGTTCAAGTCTTGTACTGTTCCTTTTTTAAAAATAATTTCTTTTCTTTTCTCCCAATCTCAAGTCATTGCTTTCAAAACCAAGTTTCTAAGGAAAGAACAAAGACCCGTACAAAAACGAAAGTTTGCGTCACCAAAACACTAAAAAAGGAAATTCGACTGGACAAGGAAATCTGGAAATGTTTTTGCATAACAAGGCAACAAGGACGGTTAATTAGTTCCATGGCCAACGATCACCAAGAAAGCAGTAGCATTTTATGATTCTACCTTATTAACTCACATGATACCCAGAAGAGAAGTTTTAAGGAAGGGAGGGAAGATAATTTCTTAAATCATTGTAATTTAGATTTCTTTTAATTGGTTTTAAATATAGGAGTTAGTTAGAAGATTTATTTTTTATTTAAAATATAAGATCTCACCCTGGCTTTACAAATTTATAAATTCATTTTTAAATATTAGTATTGATTTTATGTATCAGAGGGAGATTTTATCAATTGGGGTAATAACTAAGTGGAATATTTGAGGAATATTAAAAATAATTAATAACTTAACTAATTTTCTTGATATATGTAAGCTAATTATTAAGTTTTTATATGTTTAGGATAACAACGGGTCAGAGATTCTCACACCACTGAGATTCATTAGTTGAAGTTTAAACTAACCCCTCAAAGTTGCCTCCCTCACAAATGAATCAAGAATTTAAAATCACATGCCAGGCAACTAAACCAAAACCTCATCATAACGGCAAAATAAATATTACACTAAGCCTTATTTGGTTTTCAGCAATAAAGAATAATGATATTTAAAAAAGTGAAAAATGAAGAATTAATTTTCAATATTTGACAGAACATCCCACTTCAAAATAAACCAATTAAATCCTAAAATAATTTTTATATATTTTGATTAGATCCTAATTGAAATGGCCAAGCACATTCGTGGTGGATCTAAGCCAAAAGTCCAACATTAGGAAATCTATCTTTTAACAAAAAAAATGTTTGGATAGAAACCAGACCATGGTTTCAAAAGTGTTTTTACGGCTTACGAAATAAATATGTGGAGGAGTTTATCTCATTTTGGGGAAAAGTACTTCTATGAAACACTTTTCAATATTGTCAAACACTCCTTAAATTCATGTAAAGGGTTAAGTTGTAAATTTACTTTAAAAGTTTTTACTCTAGACACTTGAAAGTTTAAATCACAGTACTATTGGCCAACACTCTTGAATTAAAGCTTCCCACATGAATTTTCAAAAAGAGAGTAATATTATTACAATTTTAAATTTTCAAAATAAATTTACATAGAAAGAAAAACTTTCAAGTGCCCAACACTCGAGTCAAAACTTCCGATATAAATTTGCACCTTAACGTTTTATTTATATTATCAATTTAAGAATGTCATCAAAATTCTAATACATCAATTCATTATCATATTTTCCAAAATCTAGCAACTAGAACAAAGGTGAGGGGAGAGAGACAGATTTTGTTTTTTCCACGCAGTGAGCCCAAACCTAACGCAGTTTAATGCCATCCGTTCTTTTGATCAATGGCACTTGTGTCACGACTGATCATATCTACCTGTACGTGTGATCGTGTACGTATTAATTTGCCTTTATGGTTTTCAACTTTTCGTCATATACTTGGAAGAGAAGACAAATGTTACTTAACTGTTTCTTTGGCCATGTACAAATTAGAAACTCGCCCAATCACCACCACCCCTTCCCCTCAAAACACCCATTTTCCTTCATTTCATCTCTGTATGTATATGTATATAGAGTATGAAAGTTTGATCAGCAAAGCAACAAGGGCAAAGAAAGTTAAATGCAATGCTCATTGTAAATTTATGTTCGAAGCATACAAAATAGAACAATGTGTTAAAAACGAAGTTGAGTCCCGAAAAAAGATCTAAGCATATATATATATGTGTGTGTGTGTGTGTGTGTGTATTGTTGATATCTGGGCCATAAGATGTGAAATGGACCCCCAAGAATTAAGCCCAACCTGAGAAACTTTTCTTGTCAACGCAAAAATAATTTCTAATTTTCATTCCTAGGAATGGCACGCGGATTCAGCATCATCAGGAGTTGCACCTTCTGAATCTTCAACAGGACCAGCAGATCATAAAGGATAGAGCGCACTTTATTCAAATTGCAGCCATTGATACTACAACTATACAAATAGAGCCTGAGACGTCAGTGTTTGTTTCTTTCTCTCTTTATCTCTTAAATAGAAAATATACTTTCTCTCTTCTTTCCTTTTTTAAATTTCACTCTCGTGATTGAATGCGATTGTTGTTGTTGGTTGTTGGTTGATGCAAATTGCAATTTTCGTCTTTGTTCGTGCATAACTAAATTTATCATTTTCGGTTTTTAGCTAGCGTGACTGCTAATCAAGGGTTCAAACTTGATTCAATCATTGATTTGGTAGTTTTTAATTTATTCCGCCAAAGATTAATGTTAGTTAGTTTATTTGTGAAAAATAAATTATGCATTAATAATTAATTAGTATCAATATTTGAACATACGTAAGAGTCAATCTGCTACAAGGTCCAAAGCCTTTCAGGTCAGTTCTTAATGATCCCTCTGT